GATGTCGGGCGCTGTGTCCCAGCAGCATGGAAGAACGGATGGCTGGTGGGCAAACACTGGTTGTTTCAAAGTAACTAATGCAGAGGATTCTGAATGCTTGACAGAGAACTGATGAAGTTGGAAGCTGGATATGCCAATTACTGTGATCCCATCATTACATGTTACATACATGTGTTGAAACGTCACTCCATACCCCAAAATATGCAAAAATACTATGCACCATTATACATACAGACACACAAACAATACTCTCCTGTCCACTTAGACCTCCCATGATGCTGAGGAGCTTGTAGGGGACAGAGAGACTGTCTCCCCAGCCCTCCCTGCTGAGACCCTTGGGCAGCCCAGCTGGGGTGGCTACACTTGCACTGCAGAGGCGCAGGAGGGAATGGGGTACAGAGATGAAACAACTCTGGCTCAGTCCCTTCAGGAGCTACATAACACAGCTGACTTAGGGAGCTCAAAGCCCAAAACTCAGAAGCCACCCAGCAGCGCAGCCCCTGACCAGGAGCACCCCCAAGAGCGTGGCCTCAGCTCCAGGCCACTGCTTCCAAAGGGGTCTCCCCAAGGGCATGCTCGTCCCACCCACACTCTCCCTGGAAAGCAGATTACACCCTGCACCATGCGCTCCTCCTGCCCGATTTCCAGGCGATGACATTCCAACCACAGGTGAGGATGCTTGGGCACAGAGTGGTGATCTGTCCACAGCCACAGGACTGAGTGGCAGGAATCAGATGCTGACCACTGAGGGACACCAGCCCTGTGTCACTAGCCTTCCAGCCTACCACACTGCCTCAGGGGCAGCCCAGCTGGGCGTCCCCAACACAGAGAAATGATGATGCTTGCCTGGGCTTCAGGTCTCCGCGGTAGCACCCCTGCCCAGGACAGCCAGGAAGGCATCAGGCCTGGGGACAGAGCTGCAACCTGGTACAAGCACCTCACCGGTCAGCACGTGCTGCCACTGTTTTTCCCATGGTGGTGCTGGGGGAAGCGCCTTCAGGAACCGGTACCAACCCAAAGGAAGGGAGTGAGAAGACCCGCTGGGCAGGCGGGGTTACCAGCGCACGAGGCCCAGCTCCACAGACGATGTCCACTAGTAGGTCTCCACTGGAGGGGCTGGGACAGGGCTGGAGTCCACTGGCAGAGCTCCAGGGTGGGGGCAGTTGCTCCTGAGCCCTGGCACAGCCTGGGGAACCCAGCACTGCAGGCCATGCCCACTACTCCCACACAACCACTCTGCCCGCGGCTGCTCGGTAGAGTCCTGAGTGCCAGGAGCTGACCGCGCCCCGGGAGCCAGGCAGCACCAACCCTACCTAACCAGTCGGCAAGCTGAGGCTCGGAGCAAAGGGAAAACAACCGTGAGAAGCACTAACGTGGTGGGCAGCTGCTCTGCAGCCCTGGAGAAGCAGCGCCAAAGGCTTTACCCCTCTCACTGCTGAGCATAACGCATCCAGGCCGGGGGTTTAACTCAGCACATGGCACCTGCCTGACAAGGTGAGGGCCTGAGCTCCATTCCTGATACCAATAACAATAACCACCTCATCTGCCAGCTGCCAGCTGAGGAAACCGAGGCTGGGCAGTGAAACCCAAACGCCCAAAGGGTCTAGCTATGTATTCTCAGATGTGGGCTCAGGCCTGTGAGTCTGATTTTGGTCACTCTCAGTCCTCCACAACCCCCTGCATGATTCAGGGAGATGCCAGGCTGTGCAGGGGCCACGCTGATCCTTCCAGAAGTTTAATCCAGCCTTAGCCATGCTCACTGCCATCCTGCCACACACCCTGTGCCATACACACAGACGTACATGCATGTGCACAAGCATTGTGCACAAGTGTATCCAGTGCACACATATGCATGCATGAATATGTGATACACAGATATATGGACATGTGTACACACATGCCTGTACACAGCTATACATGTACACGGACACATGTGCATGTATGTACATATGCACATGTACTTGAATATACCTGCATGTGCATATGAATGTGGGTGTGCACACCATGCGTACATGTGCACATGCATATGTGTGTGTACATGTACACACATGCTTGGTGCCCATTTAATGCACATATACGTACAGGCACGGCACACAATCCTCCTTGTCTTACTGAGCTGGGTGAAGGCTGATGGTGGGAGCGGAAGGGCAATTTTCTAAACCAGTCCCACTTCCCACCAACACCCCCAAGAAGGACAGAGACCCAGCAACCCTCGGGGACCCCATGGGAGCCCCCAGCTGGCAGGGTTAGTCACACGGAGGAGCAGGCCCTGCAGGGAGCAGAGCCTGGGACCTGCAGGCTGTCAGAAGCTGGACCAGGGGCTCAGCATGGCCAGGCATCCAGTCCCACTCCTGGGCTGGGCAGCTCCACCTGGGCACCTGTGTCCAGCATGACACAGGAGGAGCAGAGACTCAAGTCTTCTTTGCCCCGTCCTGGACAGACAGATGCACAGATACGGGGTGGCCTGCCCCTGCCTCACCCCACAGGCACAGGGAGGCAGCCCCAGTGAGAGGCTGTTTCAAGACATCATTTCCAAAAGACTGAGCCAAACCAGTGCTCAAACCTCCTCTGTGGTATAAATTATGTGGGTTGAACTAATGAGCTATATGTATCTTTCATCCCCTAATTAACTGCGGTTTAATGAATTTCTGAGCACACTGCTGCCAGGACAGCCTTGCAGCCCAAAAGAGTCGCTCCCTCTCCATTGCAGGTAAATATTTAAGGACCCCAAATTAAAGGGAGCATGGGGGCCCCAAATGGGAGACTGGGTGCTACCCGGGGAACTGGACCCCGTCCCGTTGACTCAGTGTTTTCATTTCTGCTTTCTCCACCAAGGAGCTGGACAGTGACTTCTGGCGCCAGGAGCCTGCTCCAGCACTGAGCCTGGGCACCTTGCTCCTGCTGCCCAGAGCCTCACCCCGAGGGAGGGACGAGGACGCCACATCTGCTGCCTAGGGGTGCGCGCACACACACATCTCGGTGCAGCCTACACAGCCAGGGCCCTGAGGACATCGGATCCAGGGTTCCCAGCCCAGCTCCTCCCCTCTCCAGGGGGAGGGAGGCACCTAATCATCCCTGACCCCCAAGGTTCGCAGCCACTGTCCTCCGGCCCCTGAGGTCAGCTCTGCCCTGCACCCCAACTAACCCGCATTCAAAGTGCACAGCACCTTCTCACACTCAGCTTCTGCCCAAACGTCCCAGTGACAGTGTCATCCCCAGCACTAAACAGGCACCTCGGCTGCTCCCTGAAGCCACATGGCTAGGCAGCTGCCCCCAGCTGTCTGAGAGCTGTCCCTGTCCTCATGCCCACGCGAAACTGGAGCAGTCCCCACCCCACGCAGCTGCAGATCAGACATCAGTGTGGGGAGAAGGTGGTGCGTACCTCCCGGGGAGGTAAAAGGATGATGCTCCAGTCCTGGGCTCCACAGGACCTGGCCAGCTGCCTCATAGGCAGGTGCCAAGAGCCCCAGGATCTGTCCATGCAAACCAGATAGGGAGAGGAAAAAAGACAGGTGCCTGCCTTGTCCAGCACAGGCACTGGGGCTGCCCAGGGTGGCTCAGGCTGGAAGGACACTGCCTCCGGAACTCAGGGACAGGGGCCCATGGAGGGTGCTCTGTCCCTGCTGTCCATGGTCCCTGCTGTTCCACACCACCCTCAGCTCAGGGCCACTGAGGTAGAACCAAAGGCTTCCGGGAAACCACAGCCCACCCCCAACCCAGGCTCCATAGCCCCTGGTGCAGACACCGCTCTTCTCTCCCCTTGGCCTCTCTCTTGGGTGGTGACGTGTGTCCAGCTCAAGAAAACGAGCGGGCTCTCTGCAGGGCCAGGTCACGACACAGAGCAGGGCAGCCCTGGGAGGAGCCGGCAGGCCTCCCAGCCCTACAGGGCCACAAGGCCACACCCCAACAGCATCACCCTAGGTATCAGCCTGGCTCCTCCTCAGATCCCCCATGGCCCCCGAGCCTGGCCCCCCCTCCTGCCTCTGCCCCCAGGACTAGCCTCGCCCCAAGCAACACCCCCTTATCTTCCTGGCACCTTGCTGCTCACACTGGATGGCACAGTGCAGGTGCTTGTCTGAGGCTACTTCTCCGAAATGATGCCTCACACAGGGTTTCCCCAGCCAGGCTGGGTCCCACCTACATCACAACCATCACCACCACCACCCCCGACTCTGGGTCAGCTCAGGTCAGTTCCCACCACTTCAGAGCCACCTCTGCCATCAGAGCTACGGTGCCATCCTGAATCACTACACACGAGCTAATGACAGCCCAGCACACAGGACTTGTGTGCCCACTCCACCTGGAAACTGGGCTCATCTAACGGAGGTGTCCATTGCCTGGCACCAGGCCTGAAGCACCCTAGGTGTAAGAAATGCTTCCTGGCTGAGTGACAAAATGGACTGACAGTCAGCTGGGGGGCAGAGAGAGAGAATGGGAGATGTTAAGTAGGTGGGAAGATGCACAGAGGGACGGAAGAATGAGTGGGTGGACAGAAGGGATAGATGGAGGGATGGAGGGATGGATAGGTGAGTGGGTGGGAGGACAAAGAAAGGAGGCAAGAAAGGGATGGACAGTGGGCGGACGGAAGGTACAGGAATGAGTGGTGAGAAGAAGGACAAATGGATGGGTAGATCAATTGATCGACTGATCGATGGATGGATAGATGGATAGATAGAATGGTGGGTGGATGGAAGGATGCACAGATGAAGGAAGAAAGAGGGAAGGGAAGGAGAGGAAAGGCAAGGCAAGGTAGGGTGAGTGGAAGCTTGGATGGATGGGTGGGTGGCAGGGTGGATGGACAGACAGATGAATGGGTAGACAGAAGAACAGCTAGACGGTGGGTGGATGGATCAATAAACTCTCCAACTAATCACCAAAGAGACCAAACCAGTCCTGTGAAACCAGACTGCTGACAATGCACTGTCTCTGAGGAAAGCAGGCAAAGATCAGCCCCTGAGGGGCCGGAAGGCCTGACCACAAGAGTCTCTCTGAGTCGGGGAACGGAAATGAGATGGGCAGGAGCCAGAGTCCTGGGAGTGGAAGGGAGGAGTGAGGAGTGTGGAACAGGGACACTGAGCAGACAGGAGACCGGCATAGCTGGGCCTGGGCAACAGCAGCCAGCCACACCCTGGAGGGACAAGAAGGGTCCACACTCCCACTGGAGGGGCCCAGGCAGAGTAAAAGGATCAGCTGACCCAGCTCCAGGCCCTGCTCACTCCCAGGAGGCATCGGCAGTGGGTCCATCTGTGCCAGTCCCCCACAGCCACCAAGTGCCACAACTCAGAGGTAAGTCATCAACAGGTACCTCCCCAGAGGCCCTAGACTTTTGAGGGGTGCTGTGTGAGGTCACAGGCAAAGTGTGCAGGAGCCTGCCAGTGCCTCCTGGACACAGCCGGACTCTCCTTTGAGTACAACAGGAGGCCACAGGACCCCAAGGACCTGGCCTCAATGTGGACCCTATTTTTAGAGCTTGGGAAATGAATCCTTGGCTCCAGGCTCAACGGAAGGGGCTGCCCACCCCCAGAACCCGCAGTGCTCCTTCCCGAGGGCCCAAAGCACTTCCACAAAGCAGGCAGATGGTGCAGTGGCTTCAGCTGGTGGAGGCACCATCTAATAAGGCTGCTCCTACCAGCAGCGGTCACCTTCGCTCCCCTCTACCCCACCCCTTCCGCAGGAGGCTGCCTGGACAGAGATGGACCTGCAGAGCCAACCCAGGAGGGGCCAGGAGGGGCCAGGAAGGGCAGGGAGGGGTCACAGCTTGGAATGACAGAACAAGAACAGCAATGCGAATCCACAAAAAACAACCTGAGCTTGAGAACCAGCGGATCAGGAAGATCCCTGAACTTGGTTCAAGCCCACCCGCTCGGGCCCTCCACTTTCTGCCTGGAGAGAGGGTGTGATAGCCCAGCTGCTGTCCAGATGGAAAGGGGCGGAGACACTGACCAGCTCACAGCACGGGGCCATTGCAGGTGGGAGGAAACGGGGCATCCCACCCCTGCTTTCCAGGGAGGAAGCTGGCACACCTGCAGCCACCCCTCCTCCTCAGCAAGAGCCAAAACCACCCGACAGCGAGGTCTACACTTAATTTTGGTGCAGGATGGTCCAGGGGAGCACCCAGAACGGCCTGCCTCCCAGTACCTGTCCCTGTCCACTGTGATGCTTATTAGCCAAAGGCAGGTGGCCAGAGGCTCCACACCAGGTCCACCAGGTTCTCAGGAGGCAGGCAGTGCCCAGATGCCCTTGCTTGGCAGTAGGACCTGTGCCTTGCAGGGGGGCAGGGAGGCTGGAGAGGGCCCAGTGTGAGGCCTCCACTGCCCCTGGTCCCCTCCGGTCCTAGCTTCAAGGAGCCCTCTACCATTATGACAGAGTCTGCCCTAGACCCAGCCAAGGCCCCCACCCCACCATCCTCTCACCTCTCAGCACAGACCTGGCCATTGCACCAAGGGCCACGCTGGGTCCCCGAGACTCCCCTCACTGATCCCAACCTCTCCTCTTGCCCCTGGCTCCCATGTTTGTGGACACAGAGCCATTTCAGAGTTCCATGCCTTTGCCTGTGCCATTCCCTCTGCCTGGAACACCTGTCCCTTGACGCTGCTCTGCCTGCAGGTTCAGGCCCAGCCCAAGTGTGGCTCTCCCGAGAAACCCCTACAGGTCAGGAGAGTCTCTCACCCTGGTCTCCCCGTGTGACTGCATCCAAGCACCAGTCACCAGGACAAAGCCTGACTCACAGGACAGCCTCATCGATGGGGATGGATAGATGGACGGGTGGACAGGTGGACAGGTGGGGAGGGGGATGGATGGGTGGGTGTGTGGGTGGGTAAATGCATATACGCAGACGTCTGTGTCTGAATGAAGGAGTGAACACATAAGCAGGCCCATCAGGAGTTCCACACGAAAAGGTGCAGAGGCAGGAGATAGCATCAGCTCAGTCTCCTGTGGTGACACTCTCCCATGCAGCTGAGCAGAGAAGACTTCCTCTCCTCAGACCACGCAGCTGGTCCTGAGCAGAGGCAGAGGAACATCCACGGCAGCTTCTTCAGCCTCCTGACAACACTGCGCCTGCCCCTCTCTTCCTCTGAGCAGCCTCTTAGCTCTGACAGATACCTTCCCGGGAAAGGCCTTCCTGGGACGAGGTGGCTTGAGGAGGCCTCAGCACAGGAAAAGGCTCACCCGCAAAGAGAGGGCACGAGTAGGGTGGGGTGCTGAGTGAGCTGTGTCTCGGGTCCCCTGCAGGGACACACACAGGCTGGTTATCTCGGGTCCCCTGTAGGGACACACACAGGCAGGTCCAAGGAGCAGAAAACCGTGTGTACTTTCTCATATGTGATAAGACAAGATGATACGACAGCCCTGAGGCTACGGCCAATCCCCACAGCCAGGGCTCGGGGTCCCTCACTGCAGGAGGCCTGTACCCCAGTCTTGAAGCCTTTCCCTGGAAAACCCTAGGCTGCACCCTCCCACTGGGCTCCCCAGCGTGCCAGGCTGCAAACAGGGCTGACTTCGGAATTGACCAGAGTGGCCCCACCAGCAAATCCTGGATCCGGGGTGAGGAAGGATCCAGGCCCTCACCTGGCTGCTTTTCTGGTCACTGAGCACAAGGAACAGGGATCCCCCCTCACACCTGGCACCCAGCAGAACTGCTCAGCGCAGCCGCCTGCTGAGGTTCCTCTGGCTGCCCTGCACACAGGGCTGCTGCAGAAACGGCTGTGAGCAGATGCTTCCTTTAAACACGGACGGCCGCCCACAGGATCCACAGATGGCAACAAGTGAGCAGCAGTGCCTCCCCCGGGGGTTGGGTCCCCTCTCCTTGTCACCACCAGAGGAGGCTGGGTGCTTGCTTCACACGGGAGGAAACTGAGGCTCTGGCCTTGTCTGCGGTCACCCCACTGCCAAGTGACAGGGCCCAGCCCAGAACCCAGTGGCAGCTGACCCCAGAGACCTGGCCTGGGCCGATGACGGGCTCAACATCTCCATGAGACAGAAGCGCCTTCCATCTGCCCCACTGCCCAAGCCGGGACCCGTCACTCATCACATCCCCTCAGAGCTGATCAGAGCTTGCCTTGCTGGGGATATTGTGAGACCCCCTCACCTCCAACCTCCCATGCTCCAGTGCACCCCACAAAGCCCTGCACTGGTACCGTCATCCCACTGCCCCCTAACAATTATGGATGGGTCTGTGTAAATGCATCCGCCAGGGGCACAAATAAACGGATGAAGGTCTGACACCACCTCCACTTTGGTGTGCAAATTCCATATGTCTCCGGGAGCAGAGAGGAAACACATTTTCCCCTAACAAGCTGCTATCCACAACTTCCATTTTTCTGCACCGAAGACACTCGGCATCCGTCACCTTTGTGGATAGCCAAGTGACACTCCCTGGCACCCGAGATCCTGGGTGGTGCTAGGATGCATTTCCACATTGGGGGCTGCCCTGAGATAATGTCACCGTCTCCAGGGGACCCTGGCAGAGCATGCACTGCTTCTGCCCAGCCTGAACTTCCTCTGCAATGATTTCATGCTGAATTTGCTGAGTCTCTCCAAGCGAAGTTATACACACCCAAGACTACTGTGTTTCTCCAGGCCTGCGGCACATACTTCATCCAGCACGTAAGTGGTGATAATATTTGGAATAGGTTTACTGACAGAACCCAGGCCTCTGTGCAAATAACTCTTTCATGACACAAAGTACTTAACGAAGAGGAGAAAAAGCATTACTCATGTTAAATTCAAAGTGAGCGCTTTGTTCTCGATTGCCAGAAACCCAGGGAATGTCCTTAGCTATCTGAGGTTACAATGAAATTCACAAAGGGTTACATTTGGTAATTACATTTACCGTAGCTATAGAAACTGGGGCATCAGACAGCCAGGCTGACAGCTCTGACTCTTCCCCCACAAGAATGGCTCGGCTACACGGTGCCGTCTCCGAAGACCGGGCTCTGGGTCACCCTGGGTTACCCCTATCTGGGCATCGCCCCAACTCTTGGGAGAACCGTGTCCCCATAGGCCCCAGGACACAGGTTGCTCTGGACTAGAAACTGATGATAAAAGACAGAAACGAGAATGCGCTTCCTGTGGCTTCTGAAAGCGCACCAGGCATCAGCGCCCGGACTCGGGTGGCTCCGAGGCGGATATATCACTTACAGTCGCGCCGCGGTGTGCAGCAATCGGCTTCCCAGCACCTGATGCTGGTCTGGAGCTCATGGGGCTCCTCGGCCCGCGGGCAGCAGAGGTGGACAGCTGGCCAGGGCCAAAGCTACCCAGAGAGGGGAGCAGGGGCCACTACAGCTTCTGCCCCAATGGGAAACAGGGCCGAGGTCCCAGTTATCTCGCCCCTTCCCATCTGGCCGCAACCACACCGCTCACCATGCAGGACACAGCCAGCACTTGCCCTGCAGCCAGAAGTACCAGGGTTCCCACACCATGGTTCTCAGAACGGGGCATCCAGCCACCAGGGTGGGGTGCCCAGACCACCACCTTTTAGAATCTGATTTTGGCAAATGCCCAGTTCCAACCCCAAGCCTAAAGAGACAGAAATTTGATGGTGGGGCCTGTCATCTGGTTTTCTTTAAAAACAAGATTTCCCAGTGATTGTGAGGCACATGATGGGGAAAATGACCAGGCTGCCTTTAGGTTCACCCAGGAAGCCCTCGATGACCCTGATGCATGGCTGCAGCTCCGCGGGGTGGGGTTCAGGGTCAGGGTCCCCCAGAGCTTCAGGATCATTCTGGGTAGCCAGGGCTGGGGCCTGGGTACTGCTCCTCAGGTAGACAGGGCCCAGCAGGCCCCTAAACCCAAGCTTGGCTGTGCCTAGCTGTGCCTGCAGCTCCCATGGGGGCACTCAGATGCCCAAGGATCTCAGGAGCAGACCTGGCCAGATCCATGCCCACTGCACGGGCCTGCCAGGGTGCCTACTCCTTGCCAGCCACTCCAAGGGCACCACCCACTGGAAGCAGGGGATACCCCCAGAAAGCAAGCCCACACCAGGACCAGCCCTGGGACACACGGTGAATGTCCCGCCTGGCCCTGGCCCCTGCCAGCCCCTGCTGACCCACTGTACCTCCTGCTCCAGGGACATCACCCTGCCACTCTCGTACTGGGCCCTGAGGAATCACAAATAGGCAAGCAGGGCCTTGGAGGAAACAAGCCAGGAGATGACCTTGCTGTTTTTGTTTTTCCTTTTCCAAAGATAGATTCTGTCAGTTACACTGAATCGATACTTTACAATTAATAATTAAAATACCTCTGCACACTTGCAGTGGTAGCGATTCAACAGGCTGAGGCCGGAGGGTGGCAAGTTTAAAGACAGTGTAGGCAACTGGGTAAAACTCTGTCTTAAAATACTTTTCTTATTTCTACATTTTTATCTGTCCATGTTTGCAGCACACAGCGATCAGACTCCTGGTGCCTGGCACCTCTTAACTCTTTTTGTATCCCCTTTCCTTCCCCCTCCATCTCTTAGTCTCTTCCCATTTGCAACAGATCTGCAGCCCCATTTCCTGCTATCTACATTTCATTTTACCCTGTATTCGCATTTTCGGTTTCTCACACAATATTTCAGCTTATGTGTCTACACAGAGTTCTCGAAAAAGGGCTGGGAACATAGCTCAGTGGTACAGCACTTGGAGGCTGGATGTCTGAGGACCTGGGTTCAATTCCCGGCATCACACACACAAACAAAAAAGTCTCCATACCTCGAGGCCTAAGTCAACGTGCACACACATGCACATGCAAACACAAAACACACACACACACACACACACATATACACACACGTACAGGCACCTTGGAGACACCCTGCTGCCCTGCGCTCTCCACTCCAGGAGGCCTTGCCTGAGTCTCCTGCACCCCCAGCAGACCCGGCCTAGCTCTGAGCACCCACAGCTCAGCCCAGGGTGCCTTCTCCTCCATTCTTCCCCAGACAGACCGTGCCCACTTCCCACTGGGTCACCAGAGGCCAACAACAAGACCACAGCCTTGGGCCTCACCTGTACCACCCAGCCCAGCACAACCCTTCCCGCCCTATGACTCACGCTCCCAACCAGCACAGGGCCCCTCAGCCGGGCCTCCTGTGGGGGGGCCTCCCACACTGTGGTCTCAAGTCACAGCTTGCCTCCTTCTCCAAAACACTGTCCAGCCCTCCAACAGTTGCCACAACTCTGCTGGCCTGCTGGATGCATCTGCAAGGTTTGTTCATTTGAATTCTTTTGAGAAAAGGCCTTGCTGTGTAGCCCATGCTGGCCCTGAACTCACAGCAACCCTCCTGGCTCAGCCTCCTAAGCGCTGGGATTACTCAGAGTGCACCACACTGCCTGAGTGGGTGTTGTCCGTGTGTCATCACACCATCAGGACAGCAATGAAACTGATCCCTTGGCATGAGAACCCACAGGGGAGCATGGACAGAGAAGCCCTCTCTCTATCCCAGGGGATCAGCACCTGAACAAAGTCTAGTTTGCAAGGCTGCTCAGGGCACCAGTAGGTGACTGAGTGCCCCATAACAGGGAGCTTAGTGGACCCTTGTCAGACACGCACGGCCCCAGCCTGACGGAGCAAGCCCTGCTCTGCCTGCATCTCCCGATTTGTTCCACCTTGCACCCTCCACCAGGCTACTCCAGGACCAGCTCTGGAAACCCCCATGTCCTGGTGTCCGCTTGGCTTCTGACTCCGGAGACTTCAGCAGTGGCTGTGTCCCCTATCTGAGGTCACAGTTCCTGCTGTGCAGCCTCTCTGCCTGCCCTCACCCCCACCCGGCCCACCCCTTCAGGCCAGAGCCGCAGCAGCTCCCTGTAACTGCTTCCCTGTCTCTAGGTGACCCCCATTCCTGTATGGCTCCTCTTCCTTTCGATCTGTTCAGGGACCTCTGAGAAGCTGGAGGAATTCAGTGGAGAGCCAGCACCCTCAGGGGCTAGCAGAGAGCCCATTTCTCCAGGGTTTCCCCAGTCCTCTCAGTGGATCGACCTTGGACAATCAGGTGCGTTCCGAGACTTCATTAACTAAGCAGGAGGGCATCTAACAACTGGGGGCGCCTCCGGGATCCAGCCTCAGAACTGTCTGCTCAAATGCTTCATGAGTGACTGGGCAGAGGACACCGATTGGTCCCACTCCAGGAATAATTAATACAGCATCTGGAATCCAAAAAGATCTTGGTCATCTAGAAACTGGGCCATACTTAGCCAAACAGCTCCACAGAGGAAGCTGGAAAGTTGCAGACACGAGAGCAGGTGGGAAGACTCAAGGACAAGTTTGGGGGAGACACTGGGGCTCAGTCACCTTCACAGGGCCAGAGGGAGGATGTGGTCACCCCTGTGCAGTAATGATGTGATACCCAGGGATCAGGGGATTGGGACTCCACTGAGTTCCATCCTGAGCTCAGCATCTGGTAGGGACTGTGGGACCATGGGATGGGAACAGAAGGGGACACCGGCCAGGAAAGGACACAGAAGCTCATCACAGGGAACAGCTGAGCGGCCTCGAGACAGCCAGGCAGCAGACTACGTGTGAAGGTGACATCAAGCCAGCCCGACACCTAAAAGGATTTCTCCAGGAAGATAAAGTACAGGGGAGCAGTGCCCAGGACACGCTCCTCTAACCCAGTTCACACCATCGGCGACAAACTGCAACAGAGATGCTGCAGAACCAACAGCGACAGCGCACCAGGCACAAAGCACCACTGTCAGCAGCCCTGGGCTCCCACCCCAGCAAGGGTCCTAGCCAGCCTCCCTCACCCACCCCAGACCTAACCCCACCTCCCAGCAAAACAAGAAAGGAACAGCAGAGAAAATTCAAAAACGAGTAAAAAGAGATAAAAGAGATAAAAGTCCCTGGAGTCCGATTCTTTGAAAAAGAAAGTAGTACAATTTCAGAAGAATGCCCAGTCCTAAAATAGACTCACATGTAGATTTGGGGGGAAAATGCTACCAGTTATTTTCAAAGAGGAGAAAAATGACATTATAGCCACTGAAAAGCAAGGTCCAAGACAAATGAGTACCTCTGGGATTCTACTGGAACCACTGTTGGAAGGTATTTTAAAACCAGAATTGGCACTACCAAAACACACACCGGTAAACTAAAAAATACACTTGAGCGATGTGTTAGTGAGGAAAGACACATTCTTGTAACAAACAAATGTCTGAAATATTTCAGTGGCTTCAGTCAGCACAAAACTTCTTTCATGCATACTGCACAGTGACGGCAGACTGGCTCTGCCATCTTCACCCAGGATGCGGGCTCCAGCTGC